AAAGCGCCGCGGCGAGGAGGCTACGGCGTGAGACACTAGTACTAAGCCGTCCGGAATTCGCTACACGCTCTCGAACTGCGGCTGGAGAAACGAGGTTGTAGGACAGTCGATCGTACGACAGATAAGGAGCAACCACTAGTACTAGTTCCGACGGGTAGGATGATTTCGGCTTCTCCACAAGGCGATCGGTGCACGTGCTGTTGTGGAATCCACGACTGCTGCCGCTGCTTCGTCTGCTGCTCTGGTCGACTGGGTCTACTGATGAGGGGCGAGCCAAGGGCCCCTTGCCGGGCACGCACATCCCCTCGCTGCAGGACAGCAGAGCCCTGCGAACCACGGCCATGGCCATCTTGATTCTTCTTACCCGCCGCGGGGTAGATATCTTCGTCTACTGGTGCTGATGGTTTCTGTTGTCTCGGATCGTCGTGGGTCGGTGCGCGTTCCTCAGGACAGACGCGAAGAGGATGACGCTTGGCCATGTCACAGTGATGGCTTGCTGGCTGCGGTGGTGGCATGTGCGCAGGAGGGAGGTTGTGATGAGTGCTGCACGAGATACAGCATCCACAGCTCACACGGACATTCTCCTCAGGCCGCTTCAAGCCGTGCTGACTATGCGCGTGTTTCTGTACACCCTGTTTTTCGCTACTTTCAGCCGCGTAAGAACACTACTGTTTCTTGGCAGTATTCGGAATTTTGCCAATACCGAAACCATTCAACCGTCCCTAGCACGCGGGTGTGCGAGGGGAGTTTCTCAAGATATACTTTTCCTACATACCCTAGCTAGCCATTCCAGAATGTCCAGAGACCTTTCGAAAGCGTACTGCAACACACTGGATCGCGCTGGTCCAAAAGTTCACTATAGCGCGGGTGATAGCATGCTTCTGTACGGGATGAGTTTCTAGTAACAGAGAATTCACTATGGAGAAATTCACTATGGCGAGACACAGGGTGTACATGCATCTCAACCACACATCCTCTTTCCTCACCTCGAGCCACTTGTCAAGCCAAGCCACCTTCCTCCTCTGCGGCATGACTAGTGCCCACTGCCCGGACCATCAGGCGAGCAAAGGCCGTGGAGCAACAGAGCTTACACAGAGCGGGTGGGGGAGAACCAACCGACACCCGTTGACCTCCAGGCACCGAGCAGTAAGCTTTACAAAAAAACATCAGAAGCGCATAGGAACGTGTTGCACCGATTATCGATTCGTGGGACACCATTGACGTCATCAGACCATCATCCCTCAATGCAAGCATCCCCGCTGTGCAGTCCAGTCACTGGCGAAACCCAATCCAATCCTAAGGCAACCTTGTTGGACAGAGGGGTGGGGTGATCGACCATCAAATCAAAGTGCCATGCGCCCCTCAGTCTCCCAGGATTCTGCACTGTAAGGTTTCTCATGTGCGCCACTGTACACATCTAGGTCATTGCGCTGTTCAGCGCCTCACGCGCGAATCATTGGAGAATGAGCTGTCATCGTCGAGCGCTGTCATTGGTTCGCATTTAAAGCGACGGTGCACATTTGCCACCCAAAACCCAGAACCCTGGCGAACTGTTACTGCGGATGGAAAGTGTCCGCACGAAATCCTGGTTTTCGCCAGCCAGCACTTTCGCGCTGGCAAGCCTGGTTCAAAAAAAAAACTCCTGAACCCAACACTGCCAAAAGTTGCCCGTCGCTTTAATGAAGGGTTCCAACAGGTGGATAAACTGGTTGTGCATGCAAAACAGAAAGGAAACACGAGAAACGTCAAATCAACCGCACTGAAAACACATTGTATGAAATGAAACTCCTAATGTATGTAATGAAACTCCTAATGTATGAAAGGGAACTACTTGCATGAAGCATATTCACGAGCACTCTGGTCACGCAAGCATCACCTCAGTCAGTTGCATATATTAACGTTGAATAATTCATCAATCGTTGATGCTACCCCGAAATTTCTTACATCCCCTTTCTACACCATCCCTGGTGGCCCCTTTCCATGCCTCTATTTGAGTCTAACTCTGCCTGGTTCCATCCTATATGAGGCTGGCGCACAGAACGAGCTGTGGGGGAGTGAGAAATACTCCTACCCACTTGAGCGTTTGGATATGTGGCCAGACGGGGCAGCTGTGCTGGTCGATGAAACATTGGGGATGAACCATTGGCCTGTAAGGTACAAGCACGAGGCGGGGCAGTTTTCAAGGTGGTGGTCGTTGCACTGGTGGCGCTGTTGTTGGTGCCGGCGGTGGGCGTGGTGGGCTTGTGGGCGGCATCAGGATGAGGGCAATGAGGACAATGTGAGCAGTGGGAGCAGGCAGAGGAGGGACCATTGGCAGCAGCAAGCAGCAGTGTCGCCTGAAGGGAAGCCACCATTGCCTTGAGCTCCTCCAATGACTCTCGTGACTGAACTAGCTCTTCCTGCCATGCAGAGGGAGCGGGAAAGGGCGAGCTAGGGTGAGAAGTAACAAGGGAAGAGCAGACAAGAAAACTAAAGAGCACGAGGACCCACAGCAGCAGGGATACACACGAGTGACACAGAACAGCAGCAGCAAAAGCAGCGGCGGCGGCAGCGGCTGCAGCAGCAGCAGCAGAAGAAGCCAGCACACCTGGATCTGGTGCAGGCCCGGCTTTGGCTTGCTGAGTGGATTTGGTATGGTGAAAAGGACTTCATTCTCCCCTAGCTGTTGCAGAAGCTGCTGAGAAAGTTCCTCCACAGCTGGAGCCGAACCAGTCATGCTTTTCTCTTGGTCTGGGCTGCATGTTGGTGAGTACGGCAGCACCTGGTGACGCAGAGCAGAGTGGGAGAGAGTGGGCTAGGATCAGCTGGCACAAGAGCAGTTGAGGACGGCTGGCGTGCGTTCCAAGCGTCACTCACTCCTGCAGCTAATCAGGGAGAGAGGTCATCTCAGGAAACACCCCCCCTAAAAGGCCCGCCCAGCGCACCTGTGTGGAGTGGCGGCGCTGCAGGATCATGGCGAGGGAGATGTCATCAATGCTCTGCCCCTTCACCTGCAGCACCCTCTGCGGCGCCACCACTCCCCCCCCACCCGCCGCCATCGTCTTGGCTCGCTCCACCTCCGCAGCCTTCCTCCCACAGATCCCTCGTATGACGGTTGTCTTGGCCCGGCGCTGCAGCGACTGGTACCTCTGCATGCGGCGCTGCGCCTCGTCCGCAGCGAAGTCGCGAGCGCCGAGCTGCTTCAAGCGGTGCAGGATGGAGGAGTAGGAGGCGTAGCGCCCCGTGAGGCGGCAGAAGAGGTAGCGCACGATGGTGCCCACGTCCTCCGCTATGGACGTCGCCAGCTCCTGGGTCTCCTGGTGGCGGCAGGCGAGGGGGGTGCCAGGGGCGAGGGAGGGCAGAGAGACGAGAGCGGACGAGGGTGATGAGAAGAGGGCTCGGATGACAATACGAGAGCAAGAATAGAACCAGAGACCAGAAATGGCAGCGTGAAGGGGCGACTGACCTTGATGGTCATGAAAGCGTCGACGATGATGGCGATGAGGAAGTTGAAGAGGATGAAGACGAGGAGGAGGATGAAGGCGATGAAGAAAAGCATGCCCGCCACCAGGTCCCACCCGTGCATGTGCACAAAGAAATAGGCCGTTGCATTCTCGTTCAGGATGATCAAAAAACACGCGAACAGCGCGTCGGGCAGCGTGGCAAACTGCACAAGTTGGATTCACGTGGGATAAAAAGATTTAACGTGAGTGATGAAGGCATAAACGGGAGTGATGGTATAATTCTTGGAAGGAAAGAGAAGTTTTCATGCCTAAATGGATCACCTGCTCCATTTTGCCGCCAAAGACGAGGTAGCCGTACAGAGAGAAGCAGAAAAAGACGACGAAGGCGAGCAGGAAGAAGTGTAGCAGCGGGGGCATGGCGAGGGCGAGGGAGCGTGTGATGACGCCCAGATAGGGCTGGAAGTCCATCAGCTTGAGCAGACGCACCATGAGGAAGAAGAGGCTGGAGACGAGATCGGAAGGTGGGGGGTAGAGAAAGAAGTTCTTAGTGTAGGCACTGGGATCAAGGCAGGACACTCTAACATTAGAACTACACAAAGGCAGGAAAGGAAATGAGAGAAAGAAAGAAAGAAAGAAAGAAAGAAAGAAAGAAAGAAAGAAAGAAAGAAAGAAAGAAGGAAGGAAGGAAAGAAAGAATGAATGAATGAATCAATGAAAGAAAAGAATGAAAGAATAAAAAAAAAAAAAAAAAAAAAAAAAAAAAAGAGGGAAGCAGTAGCCTTACTGAAGCCAGAACAACTTGACCCGGCAGGTCAACAAGAGCAGCAAACTCACTTGACGCCCTGCAGGGCGAAGTAGAAGGAGCGCCAGTTGATGAGCGCCTGCAGGTCCTCGTACTCCTGCATGGCCACCTGGAACCCCTCTCCACTCCCCGCCACCTGCCAGTACCGTGGCACCTCCAGCAGCGACTCATAAATGTCATATCGCGGGTCCATGTCATTGGCTGCCACTGCCCGCCAGAGCACGATCCAGGTGATGAGCGCGAGCCACTGCAGGAGCAGCGAGGCCATGTCGATCCAGTTCCAGCCCGAATGGAAGTAACTGAGAACAGACCCCTCCCTCTTCACGCGCCCCCGCAGCTCCACCGCCTCCTCCACCCCGTTCCACAGCAGCGCCAACACGTACACCGCTTGCAGCAGCAGCAGGAACACGGACGTGAGGGACTGAGAGTACAGGGTGGTTGGTACGGGCAGCGAGGAGAAGGAGGTGACGAGCCCCCCGCCCGTGTCCACCACGGCTGTGACGCGCGTGAGGACAAACGTGCTGCTCTCGCCTGGTCAGTGGTCGGGGGAAGATGAGAGTATGGAGAGGGCATGCATGAGAATGCCTGGTTAACTGCATGTCAGACAAGGCCAGCAGGCGTCATGAATGTGAGGTGTGAATGCATGAAGTAGAAGCGGCACCTGAGTCAGGTCCGACCGTGTGTGATTGGTGACAGACACCTACTCCAGGTAGCGTTTCCCAGACATCTCAAAGGCTACCAAGGGCACGGCTCACCGTTGTGGGTGATGAAGGAGACTTCGAGCTTGCGAGTGGCGTTGTCGATGTAGAGCCCGTCCACCAGGTACCGCAGGCGGTTCTCCGCCCCTCGGTGGTCCAGATTGATGTCAAACACCAGCGGGTAGCCCTCCAACCTGTCCTGCGCACGTGGGTGTGGGAGATGGGTGTGGGACAATGTGGGACAACCTTTAGAGACAACATGGAGCATTTGGGTCGAGTAGAATGCATGCGGTTCTCCGCCTCCCGGTGGTCCAAATTGACGTCAAACACCAGCGGGTAGCCCTCCAACCTGTCCTGTGCGGGTGGCATGGAGCATAACACAACTTTCAGGTGCGTCAGAAGTTTTGGTGCCTTGTGTGGGTGGTGTGGGACGGCGCGAGAGGATCAGCAGGTGGGCACATGTGGAGTGGGGGGGAGCGTGCACTCATCCACACGTGCACGCGTGCACACATGCACACACGCAATCCCCAAACCAGACAATCTCAAGCAGCAGAAAGTGAAGCAGGAGCACAGGGCAAGGGCGCATGGCTGTGCCTGTTCCAGGAGCACTTGGTCTGGCCAAGCAGGCTTACCACAGGGTACTCGAATCCATATGGCAGGCCTTGGGGATTCAGTACGGCATGACCACCACCACCATCGGCACCAACGCTGGTACTGGCACTGGCACTGGCATTGGTGCTCTGGAGGAGGGTGGAGGCAGCGGCTGCGGCGGCTACTGGGTCGTAGAGGGAGGAGGTGGGCAGGAAGTGCGGGTTCACTCCAAACGGCTCCCTGGACGTGCCATTGCTGCACCACCCCGCCAGGTGCAGCAGGCTGGGGAGGGAGGGGAGAGGGGGGGGAAGAATGAGGGGAACGGGGGGGGGAGTGGTAGAAGTTGAGGCTTGGGGGAAGAATGGAGAGAGCTGAAGAGGTGGTGGGAGATACGAGAGAAGTTTGCATGGCACGAGAGACAGACGGCACACGATGCAGACAGTACAGATGGTGGGTCTACGGTTGGAATCCACAAGGCAAGATGCGAGAGTGAAAGGGTGACAGAGCAGAGCAGAGCACCCCTGTAGGTAGGCCAATGCGGGAAAGCTTGCAATCGAAGATAGAACAAAGAGGAAGGAACGGAGTGGTTCTGGGTCGAAGCAGGCAGTGTTTGTACTTGTCTGCATTGCACGTCTTCACACCCCAGCGCTCCTGGTAGAGGAATATACCGATGAGAAGCCTGAGAGGGGAGGAGAGGGGACGAAAGAGCATGGCGTGTAACTGAAGATACTAGGGAGACAAGTGCAGGCTTGGTAACACTAAGAGCAAAGGGCGTCGTGTGAAGTCTCCATTCTCGACATGATGTGTTCGGCCCACTCGGCGTGTAAGAGTATCTCCGCGGTGCTTCGGGAGGAGATCTCTACCTGTTGTGTTGGCCCACAAAGCGAGTGAGCGGCGTGTTCCTCTCAGCAGCAAAGGCGCGGTTGCTCTCTGTGTAGTTGGGTCCGTAGCGCTGCAGTGAGAAGGGGAAGTGCAGATCACTTCCCACTGCAGACGACATGCAGCATGCTGGTCGTCCCGGACATTGGGTTAGGGGAATGTGTGTGCGGGAGAGGAGTGAGGTGGGAGGGAGGGGAGGGGTTTGGTGGGGGGTTGGAGGGTAATCGAAGGCGGGTTATTGTGGCACGGGAGCGAGGTATGGATGGCAGGAGCAGTAAAACAGGCAGTGTGGAGGAGGAGGGAGGAAAAAAGATGATAGCGAAACGACAAGCTTCCCACTGCCTGCCTCGACCTTCCCTTGCCTCACACATCTCCTCCTATCGCCCCCACTCCATCTCCCCCACTGCCTCCACTCCATCCTCCCCTGTCCACCCCCTAGACAACCCCCCACAGCACACATCACCCCCCCGCGCACCTCCATCATGGCGGCGGGCATGGCCAGGGGGGCAGGCACAGAAGCCGGGGCCGAGCACGGAGTCAACGCACCCACAGTCGCCGCCATCAAAGGTGCACGCGGGCGTGTTGCAGCGCGGGTTGCACACCCCGTCCGCCAGCATGTGCATGGAGCACCCGGGAGAGCACTGGAACGCCGGGTCTGGCGAGCAAGGGGAGGGGGAAAAGGGGTGGGAAGGGTTGGGAGTGGGAGTGGGTGGGAAGAGGTGAGAGGAGGTGGGAGTGGGTGGAGGGGGTGAGAGGAGGTGGGAGTGGGTGGGAGTGGGTGGGAGGGGTTGAGAGGAGGTGGGAGGGGGTGAGCATGTCTGACAGGCATGTGGGCAGGTAGAGAAAGTGTGGGACATGGAAAGAGTGGAGTGTGAGAGTGCGGGGGAGAATGGGTGCAAGTGGCAGTTTAGAATTTAACAAATGCTTGCAGGCACGCCTACCTGGGGCCTCGGGCGGCGGCACGAGCACAGTGACCATGCCAGACATGGCGGGCGGCAGGAGAGCACCCATGGTGGAGGCAGCAGAGGAAGCAGGGGAAACGGAGGGTGCCGCTTCACCCGTGTCCTGCCCACCACTCTCATAGTGGTACGTGCCCGGCTGGGTGAAGACCTTGGTGTATGTGAATGTGGCGTTGCTGGCCCCTGGGAGCTCTGCAAGCAAAGCGCCAGGAGGATGAGGAGGGAGGGTTAGGGGGTGGAGGATGAGAGCGCATGACGTACTCAGCAGCATGCAGGGAAGGGAGGGGAGGGGTGTGACGTAAATCATGTAGCACACAGCACACAGCACGCAGCACTCACGCAGCACGCAGCACTCACGCAGCACGCAGCACTCACGCAGCACGCAGCACTCTCGCAGCACGCAGCACTCTCGCAGCACGCAGCACTCACGCAGCACGCAGCACTCTCGCAGCACGCAGCACTCACGCAGCACGCAGCACTCTCGCAGCACGCAGCACTCACGCAGCACGCAGCACTCTCGCAGCACGCAGCACTCACGCAGCACGCAGCACTCTCGCAGCACGCAGCACTCTCGCAGCACGCAGCACTCACGCAGCACGCAGCACTCTCGCAGCACGCAGCACTCACGCAGCACGCAGCACTCTCGCAGCACGCAGCACTCACGCAGCACGCAGCACTCTCGCAGCACGCAGCACTCACGCAGCACGCAGCACTCTCGCAGCACGCAGCACTCACGCAGCACGCAGCACTCTCGCAGCACGCAGCACTCACGCAGCACGCAGCACTCTCGCAGCACGCAGCACTCTCGCAGCACTCACGCAGCACGCAGCACTCTCGCAGCACTCACACAGCACTCACGCAGCACTGACGCAGCACTCACTTAGCACGCAGCACTCACGCAGCACTCACGCAGCACACAGGGCACGGGGTCGTCGTAGTCGTCGTCCACCCCCATGGTCATGGGCGAGCAGGGGAAGAGGCGAGACACCGCCAGGCGGTGCCCTCCAAATCCCGGGAAGAAGGGCGTGGGCGCGTCACCCATGCCCGCAACTGTCGTGGTCGGGGGCGAAGGTAGAGCAGAGGCGGGAGGGTGAGAAGGGGAGGAGCGTGTTGGAGCAATGGTGACAGCAAGCACTCTGCTTGGATGAGGAGATGTTTTGCCGTGTTCCTTGCACGTCCCATACCTTCTCCCTCTGCTCCTCTCTCCTCCTCTCTCTCCCTCTCTTTCGCTTTCCTTGCTTGCTCTTGTAAGAAAAAACAGCCGACTCATGAGCGACACGATGAACCAGCGAGCAACAAGAGAACCCCGTGAAGCAGAGAGGGCGAAGTCACTCCTTCCTGAGGCGACTCAAAAACAAACTCACTTCTGAGGGAGTGCGGGAGGTCGTCATCCCACACCCAGGTGACCTTGTCGCCCACATGGATGGTCGTGTTGTGCTTCACGCCCGCGCGCCACTGCAGCCACGTGCCGCCTGCACGTCCGGAGAGGAGAAGAAAAAAGAGAAGCACAGAGAAGCATGGTGGCAGGTTGAGGGACAAGAAACGGAGGGAAGAAGAACATGAACCAGCGACCAGAAACAGCCAGGAGTAAAGAAGTACTTGATCCTTTTCAGATTCTCGTGCATCCCTCCCTCCCTCACAAAGCCAGTAGCGCACCTTGGGAGCAGCCAGCGATGTCGGTGCTGACGATGGCGTCTTCAAAGCGGTGGAAGAAGGAGGAGAGGTCGGCAGATGCTTGGGGCGGCATGGTGGTGACGGACTGCAGGGCGGCAATGAGAATGTCTATGAAGCGCCGCAGCTGCTGCGATGACACCGCCTTGTCGTTGCTGCCATGCAGGTGCAGGGGAGGGAGTGGCAGGCAGGGGAGGGAAGGAACAGGCGGGATATGGGGCATGAGGCATGACAGGGGAGGGGATGGAGGAGAGGGACAGGGGGGACATGGTGCATGAACAATCTATGGCAGTGATGGATGGGACAGTGAAATCACAGTGGAGACAAGGTCAGCAGCACTCACACGCCCCGGTGCACTTGTTTCAGGTGGTCAAACAGCTCCTGTGCGCGCAGCAGCTGGTGCCCCGACGAATCCGCAAACCGGCACAACGGCTGGTCGAGCACGGGCCCGCCCAGCAGCGTGCAGAGGAAGGAGGTGAGGCGCAGGCGGTAGCGCACGGAGAGGCCGAGCATGTAGGGCCCGGCGAGGCAGCTGTCCTTGACCATGGTGTAGATGGCCCGGGACACCGCCACCTGCAGCGCTCTCAGGCGCTGCTTCTCTGTGGACCCCAACAGCTCCCACGCCCTTGGCGCCTCTGATAGATGTGGCAGCTCTGCAAGTAGGGAGGGAAAATGGGGGGAGGGGGCAAGAGAGGCGGGAGGGGAGGGGAGGTTGAGCATAAACCTCTATTGGGAGGGTGTGAGGAAGAGGGGAGGAGGAGCGTGGGGAGGGGCAAGAAGGGCTCTTTTTTCAAGAGAGAGGGAGGGAAGAGGGGCGGTGGGCCAGAGGTGTCAGCACGCCAGAGGGAAGTTGGTGGTATACTGTGATTATGATTACACGGTTAAACTCCCACGTTCTCAACTTCACCATCTTCACTCACGCATGTCTGCAGCCGGAGGGAGGACGGGTGGGGGAAAGAAGCTTGAATCCGCAATGGCAGCACTGGTGCTGTTGTCACTGGCGTTGGTACCGGCCACTGCTGCATTGCTGTTGCTGATGCTGCTCCTATCCCAACGCGCCCCAACTGCATTCGCTCCCACAGCAGCTGCCTGTGCGGCACTCATGGCAGCTGCCTGTGCGGAATCCACAGTGGGTGCAGCAGCCATTCGTGGCCCAGGCGATGCCGGTGCAACTGTCTCCTGTGTTTGCCGGCGATCCTTTGCTGCCAGAATAAGAGGGCAACGGGGATTGGGAAGCATCGGGCCGAGCAGGATAGGGGCGGGCAAAAAAAGAACAGACACACCAGGGAAGCAGGTCACATCTCGTTGCAACCTATAAGATTGCAAGGTTCTCCTTTTAAGGAGCACATTTATTACGTGGAGTTGAACGAACCACAAGCAAACGAATACGGAAAATAGCATCAGTGCACACCAGTGTCGTAAGGGAACACATACCAGTGCAGAGAGAATTGGGGAAGAGGGATGGTTTGACAGCAGTGATCTGCAGCAGAGGGAGAGGAAGCGGAATGGGTTTATTCAGCCGCCATGCATACAGACACATTATGCTACGCATGAAAAGCAGTGGGTTCCCATAGTTGTCAATATTCGTAAGTACTGTGTCATGGTATTGCAGAAACCTGAACTCAACAAATAATGGTGTATTCACCTGAAGGCACGACATGGTGGCGTATGGCAGGATGGTGGACGGCGACGCTCGGCAGATCTTCACGCAATCCACAAATGCGCCCGCCACCTCCCGTGATGCCACCTCCCGCCCACACGCAGCGTTCAGAC